ACATAAATTAAAATTGAACGGCCAATCTGAAAATAACAAAAAAAGGGGGGGTTTCATTTAAAAAACCAGAGTTGGTAACTACCACACGTTTATGATGCACCCTGTATATTGGAAAGTAATTTTAGAATGTGGACCTTTTAAACGTGAAAAACTTTCGTTGGACGAATTTTCTTGTAAACTTCATATTTACTGAGATATCGCACTTTGACGCACTAATGAGCAACCCTGTATACAATGCTCCATGATACATTATGAAAGATCAGAAAAGTCATTAATAAGAAATTCATTGATGGAGTAGAATGTTTTAACAATCAAATATTTTTTTAGTTTAGTTTTAAATTGCGGAAAAGGTAACAACTTTATATGAGATGGCAACAAATTGAAGAATTTAGGACCGTAATAAGATATCCCAGGTTTCAACTTATGAATTCGACAAAAATCAGTATATGGTATATTCCCTTTGGTTCTCGTATGATGGTAATGGATACTGTCGTGCGTGCAGTATGAATCTTCATTATTTTTAACATGTACAAGACATTGATAAATGTATAATGAATATGTCGTCAAAATTTTAAATTTTGAAAAAATAGATCGGGAGTTGTCTCTGTAACCAATATTACTGAGGATTCTAATAGCTCTCCTTTGAAGGGCAAATACTCTTACTGTATCAGCCGCATGTTTCCAGGCTAGAATCGCATAAGAAATTTTAGAGTGCACACAAGCAAAATAAACTGTTAAGGCTGCTTCTTTTGAGATTGTGGTAGCAAGTGTCTGCAAAGCAAAAACACCTGATGCCACACTGCTGCATACATCCGCCAGATGTGGTTTCCATGAGAGTTTTGAGTCAATTTTAACTCCAAGAAAGTTGATAGGATCGTTGGGAATATTTTTGGTGGCACGAGTAGACAGAATCAGCTTCTGACTCTTTGCATCGTTCATGCTCAACTGGTTGGCCACTAACCAGTCAGTGACAATAGTTTGAGACTCACTTAGGTAACCATTCAAAGAATCAGTATTTTCAGCTTTTCTGACTATGGTTGTATCATCTGCGTACAGGACAAAATCAGCCGAAGTGTCACAGCCTACTAAGTCATTAATATAAATAATAAACAAAAAGGGTCCAAGTCTTGACCCTTGAGGCACTCCATAGTGTAATTGACAAAGTTCGGATCTCTTCCCGTTTAGGCTCATGAGCTGTGACCGGTCAGTCAAATAAGAATGTATCAAATTGACACTCTCTGGAGAGAATTTGTAATATTTTAACTTCAAAGCAAGAATATTAGATGAAACTCAGTCAAAAGCTTTCGTCAGATCGCAAAACAAAGTCCCACAGTAGTCCCCAGCGTCGAAACTGGCATTAACTAATTCAACAAGTTTATTGATAGCCATAGTCGTAGATTTTTCATTACGAAATCCAAACTGACATTCAGTAAAGAGTTTGTGAGTCTCAAAAAAGTTGCTAATTCGGTCACAAACCGCTCTTTCAAGCAGTGTAGACAGAACTGGTATAACAGATATAGGACGATAGTTCGTAAGTTCATCAGCACTACCTTTTTTAAAAATGGGTACCACTTTAGACACTTTTAGTATTTTAGGGAACACTGAGTCTCTAATACTGAAATTGAAATGTTTTGTTAGTGGTGAAATAATAAGATTCATAATGCTTTTTATAATTTTTAAATTTATATTATGATAGTCAAGACCATTTTTATTTTGTCGGTTAAATCCCTAAGTTCTATTTGGGTTATAGGCGAAAATGAAAATGCATCTGAAGGAAAAGTCAATCTCATAGCATAACTGTTAATAAATGAGTCACAGGTATTATTAGGGTCAGGTAAATTGTTCACTATATTTGAAGCAATATGTGTAAAATATCGGTTAAAACATTCAGGTGTGATGTTTATATCAGTTGAATACTTATTTCTTAAAAGATTAATATTTTCTTTAACTAGCTTCCATATTGCAGTAGGTTTGAAACTATTTGCTTTTAAATAAGAGGTGTATGCATCATTTTTCGATTTTTTAATATCTTCCTGATAGGAATGTTTTAGACGATTTTGTTTTCAATTTAGTTATTTCTGGAGTGTTTTTTTGCTTTGCAACCTCAGTTACTAGATGTAATGTATCTCTTTTGTTTGCTAGATCATTATTATACCACTTTAGCCCAAGCGAATGTTTTTTTTGTTTCAATATTTTTTCAGCAAACGCAGTGTTGTTGTTTTAAATATTTACGAACAGATTAGATGGCAATGAATTTAGTGAAATTCATGTCCGCCACAAAACTAGACGAAGTCGTGATAACAACATTAAACCTATAAAGGTGTATAAAGCACCCATTAAAATTTCGCAAGCAAAAAAAACGATTTGGTGGATTTGTGTAACAACAATGCAATCCCAGTCAATACTCGACTTTTTATAAAGAGCTACCCTGTACGTTGACAACAGCTACAGCAGATAATAGTGATTCCGATTAGAAGTGTGTAGTTTAGGTTAGATAGTTTGCATGAATGTGAACAGACTAGTCTAATTACCGGGTATAATTATAAGTTAAAAGTTTTCTATAACAAAAATAATTTAAAAAAAGCAGTAAATCTGTATCCTACTGATTAAAAGACAGGCACCTCAACATAGGGAACAAAGTGAACAAGTCGCCTAATTACTAGCTTCAAACGGCAACAAGTCACAAAATCATTCCTAACGGTCTGCTAACAACAATCGCAGAACAAATAAATGAATCAGACTTTAATATGCTAATCTTTAACATTGAATTTCTCAAAACAAGGATTTTTGACTTGTTGCTGTATAAAACTGAACCATCGATATGACGAAAATGGAAAATGGAAACCACCAGGAGGTGGACGGAGGAAGCGAGCAAGACCCAAAAGATCAAGAATGAGGGCACAAGAGAAGCACTGGAAGCCCGTGGTTTAGATCATCAAGACGCCACAGATAGAGACTAAAGTGACCAGTGAGTGCGCTTAATTAGATGTTGGTAAAGGTCTTTAACAAACCCTTATACTTAATAATCTCTTCGTCCGCTTCTCTACTTCAATTTAGTATAGTAAATATTTTCTTTAAACTGCCTATACCCTGTTTCGTTTGTTGATATTGAGAACTTAAGCCACACCGGGCTGTTATTGTGTGGTTTCTACCTCCGGAGAGTTGTACCCAATTTAAATACTGCTACTGCTATTATTAACTCCCACAAAAACAAACACTTTCGCTTTGAATCCCGAACAGATAGTGAAAACGTACGTCTGGAATAAGATCGTCTATCGAATCGGGAGTCTGGAAGAATGCCAAAGTTATGGGGCACGCCTTATGTGCTCAGTAAGTAACCAAAGTAGCGTGCGCCATGTTATATTTGTGATTTATTTACTAGAACGGCTTTTGTGTGGTTTTTCTAGCATTGATTGATTGAACAGAAAACTGAGTAAAAAAAATTGATTACTGGTGACTAGTGGAATTAGAGCTACTTTGAGGAGTTTTTAAAAGGAAATCAGCCGTTTAATGACGTCCTAATTGGACGAGGAGCGTCATTGAGCGGCCATTTTCTAGTGAGTTACAGGAAGTAGATATTCGTGACTTATTTACCCAATTGTACATCATTTTTTACTTGTTTTTACTATTTTTACGAAATCTAACATAAAAATGGCCATAGGAAAACTGAGTCAAATAATTAATAACAAATGATTTTTGCTTCGCAAATAAGGCACAAATTGCAACAAGGACTAAACAAAGCTAAAACTAAACCTTCTATAATTATATTCTGTGAAAATCATGCACAAAAAGCTGGCAATAATGTATTGTTTTTGGCGGGTTTCTGCGTCAAATTTGTTTTATTATTAGCCCTGTCGTCTCCGTTTCAAAAATATGGCAAAGTCTAGTTTGGGCAAATCATACGATAAAGATTTTCGTTTTTCATTTCGCATACTTAAAATATCTTTGCTGGAAGAATGTTTTCATAACTGCTTCATTCCTTTTTATTTGTTGTCTTTTTATAACATTCCAAATAATCAAGGGATTAATTTTTAAATCTTCTTCGACATTCTAATTATTTTTTAAGTTGCTTTCAGTAGCAAGTCCATTCGCAACTTTGTTTTCTGCAACTTACAGTTTTTTCTGCCTTTTTCTTATTTTATACTTTTTGGGTAAAATTCAAATTTCGCTTTTAATGAGAAAATCCTTGACTGTTTAATTTTCACTGAATTTTTAAAAGGCAGAGTGTAATTCTTTATCCAGTGGTGGAATAAGCAACTGTGTAACTCTAAGTGTTCTTGAGATATCGCCAAAAAATCGGCGTCATGTTTGAGCGGAATATTCAATTTTGACAAAAACGTAACCGATATGCAAAATTCGCATTTTGTGTGAAAACTTCAAATTTTTTATTTGGGGTATTTTTTAATTCTCTATCCAGTGGTGCCGAAATTCGAAAATCGAAAAAAAAGCAAAAATCCTGCAATTTTTTTAATTTGTCTGGGTGAAAATTGAGCCATTTCCTAACTCAATATTCCCTTTTTGATGGGGGTTTTCATTCTGAATCCATTGGTATTAAAAAGAGTGTTGTAGATAAGATGCTTCTTAAAATATGACCAAATAGGCAGCCTCAACTCTAGAGCCGAGCTCAAAATTGTGCCTAAACCGCGTTAAATTCCCCATCGAATGGTATATTTGCCCTAATTTCTATCTCTTCCTTATGTGGGTGGTTTAATTAGTGTATTTATCTTCAAAAAAAATCCAACTGCAAAGAACCATTGCCAGCTTCGTTTCCGTATATTTAATATAGATTAAGCTTAGCATTGAAAATCTTGGACACTTTCCAAGTGTTCGCTTTGAAAACAAGCGCTCATTGTCTTAATGCACAAGAATATTTAATAATAATACACTTAAAATAACAGTCGAAACGTACTTCAAGAATGAGCTCTTTAGCCAGTTTTAGATACTTCAGATTATCTAAAAAAATCATATTTACAGTCTATTTTTTGAATTAACTCACTTATAATGCAACGCTTAACAGAACGCAATGTTCATCCATACGGACTTTCGTCAACATCAAAAGTGAATTAATACAGACCAAAGTGGAGAACAGTTTTAAAATTGCACTACTGATTGCATGATTCTAGTCGGGAAAAATGCTTTCAAAAGGACAAAACCGTATAACATTGGTGGGACAATAAAAATAAACATGATTGTGCTACTATTGTGCTGTATGATGAAAATCGTCGAGTTTTCCACGGGAAAACCGACTGAACCGACCAAGCCGAAGTCCCGAGGGAAATATAGAAGATATCGCAGGCTGAAAGGTAATTTCCATTCAACGTCACGAATTAATTTAACAATATTTGCTGAATCGATTAATGCTGATTAAATACTTAACTTATGATGTATTTAACATATTTTCCGAATTAAATCTTCTAATTTGCATTCATATTTATCAACTACTAATCTCTGTTACTTTTCTGTTTTTTGTTAACTGTCTGTATATAACAGGAAACGATAGCTGACACAAACTGTATAAAGAACAGTTGCAAAACTTGCTTAAACTTGGAAAACATTTAGCATTTATGGTTAGTTTATCAAGATTGCTCTTCAAAACTTACAATGCATAACAATGTAAAATGGCTCAAGTAGTCGAAGAAAATTACAGTCCTCTTACTGAAAGTTCTACTCAAAAACGACGATTAAAATGTTGGAATTGGTCAAAACAAGCACCAGAACCATCCACGGAAAACCACTGAAAGGTTTACGAGCAGATTTTGGATAATCTCGACCTTTTCTCTCGATAATCTCGAACAAGAAATCGTACAAAAACGTCTTTGCAGGTGCATTTTTCTCTTTTCTATTTATGTCACAAAACGTGCCAGAGATGGAAAAAAAAATTTTCATTTTCCAAATTAAATCTTTAATCTTTAAAGATCTTTAAGCTTAATTGAAACCAAAAATCGTTAAATTTTCTCGTAGATTTGACAGCCGGCTTTCGTTTCAAGTCCCTTAATTTTAGTGGAAAAATTGAACAGTCTCGACACAAAAAGTTTGGTGGGGTCAAATCAGGCGAACGAGATGGACGAGAATTCACAAATTATTTTAAATGGACTTAGTTCCTGTAAAATACCTACTTGGTTTACAGTACAACAGTACAAAAATTAAGACTACTTTCCATTCAAAACCTGACTGTGCATTTATGATCAAACTTCCAATTTGTGGCGCTTCCATCACACTTAACAATAACTTAATGTGTGATCTTGGTTCTTATTCCTTAAACATTAATAGAACTAATCAGAATCTTATAAGAACATTTTCTGCAGTGACTGCATCCACCTTATTAACACCTCTTAGCACTTAGTGGTGGGTACAGAGAGTCCCTGTAATTATCTACACTGATAGTGCTGCTCTCTCTGAAGCCAACTCCAAACTGTAGCACGTGTTTCGCGATCGGTCACACTCGGAACAAGTTCGGGTGCAAGTGTCAGATTTCAGAGCTTGTAACGAATCAGGACTTCTCGATTTCAGTCTCGCTTGCGGTCGCATTTTTAACGGAGGGTGACCTGTTGGTCATAGAGTTGACGTTTCAAAAATAGTTTCCTTTATTTTGAGTTTTTCGATTTTTTTTTCGTTTTATGGAGTGAATGTTTTTGTTGCTAATGTGAATTCGGAAATTGCCGCAAAGAGTGTGTCTTCACAATGCGGTGTCGGATGTGCTCGATGGATTGCAAAATTACATAAAGTGAAACGGTGTTACACAAAAAAAGTCATGACAGCTCCTTTCCTGGTAAATAGCTACAATCGAATTATGGGCCAATATCTGTGGGCTTTTTATTTAGCCGGTGTAGGTGTAACTAACTAGTCGAGTAACAGGCACGAATAATTACAAAGACTAACTAAAGGCATCTTGATTCTACTAATTTTTTGTCTTAATAACAATTAAATTAAAATCGTCTTATAAGTCTAACGGCATTTTGTGGTTGGTAGTTTTTGTACTGGTTAAGTTATCTATTAGTCCTGAAATAGTCGATATCTACATATGTACTGTTGTCAAAAATCAGCTAATATTTTCTGAAAACAAATACCGCAGATGATAAGGACAACAAGAAGCAGATTTGTAAATTGATCGGCGCTTCAGATAGGAAATGGATTTTTTTTTACTAGATTAGTGAACGGTATTTAGAAGGAAGATACTTGGAAAGATGAAAAAACGATTCTAAAAATATCCTGTTAGCATAACAGAGCTTTTTCCAAACTGGCAAGTGAACAAAAATCAAATCGGCGATGCGATCGGGCTTAGGTTTAAATGCGAAAGAGCGAATACACATGCATGTAGGCCTTGGAATCAGACGCAGAACGAAGACCTCCCTAATAGTCCAGTAATTTCAGATAAATCGATCCAAATCAGAGGAACGAGATCTAAGGCTAATTTTCACAGAAGCCTTTGTTTCGCGGTTCAAATCAAACATCTAAAAGTCTCCTAAGTTCACCCTTGTACTGTACGAGATATAGAGGTTTAGAGGCCTGGAAACCCATTTTCTGTGCGTTTGAGGTACTTGGAGGTTATTGCCGAACTTGCTCAAAGGAGTGTTTTGTTCAGTTTTGGTTAGATGCGTTTTTTCGGTATGACCAACCGTTTTCCAGACATGGCGCAAAGAGTGGGGGGAGCGCATTTTCAAAAACAATATATGTGCATACTGCAAGGCCACGATAATAATGAAGTTTTGAGGCTTAAAAAGTAATTTTCTTGGCGTCTGAGATCTTTGGAGGTTATTACCGAACTTGCTCAAAGGAGTGTTTTGTTAGGTGTGTAAAAACGCAGAATACGCAGTCAAACAGAAAAATCTGTATGACCAACCGTTTTCGAGATAAAGCGTAAAGAGTGGAGAGCGCGCATTTTTAAGGCACGATATTATGCATACTGCAAAGCGACAATCATTATAATGTTGGACAAGAAAATGAACTACTGCATTGTTTTCCGCATCTTGGAAAATGCCCTGACAAACCGATGCAACCACGAGATTTTTAATAAAATATTGATCGAACAACTGCTATTATCGCCACAAAACAAGCTAATGATTATGATGATGATGCGGAAGTTCTAATCATCGGAACTGGCGTCATCATTGGAGAAAACACTGTTCTGTTTGTTCTTTAGTAGCAGCAACTTTTTGAATTTGACAAGAATGCTACAGACACGCAAACGTTTGTCTTCATATCTAGAACTTTTTCCATCTACAAATCTTGCGCTAATCAACTTGTTAAGACAATCCCAACAAATTGGGACAATGTATGAGAAACATCCCAACTTCCATCTGTTTTAACAGAAAAAGAGCCTACAAAATACATAATTTGCAAACGTAATACGTTTCATCCTAGACGATGAACCTGATAAAATCAACAAGACTCAATAGACCAGTTCAATTGCCATATTTTCCACCTGACGGTGTAGGAGCTCACCCACCTATCTACTGGAACCAGATAAGTCTTGATGAAAATGATGACAAAGAACCTGAAACAACATGGCATAAAGTGGTGTAGAAAACAGTTTCATTTCTGTTTATGGCTAATCGAAAAAAAAAGGGTTTTAGATTAAAGATTCTTAATTTTTGATGCATGAAGCGAATCTAATAGAATATCTAGAGTAATTTCAAATTTTTAAGTTACGCGAATAAATGCATAGAAGTCCAGAATTTGGCAAAGAATCGTCGAAATCGCAACCAAAACATTTAGAACATAACAGCAATTGCTGATTTTACTGGACTATAAAAATATTTGTAAAGACGCAGACGAGAATGTTTAATTCGAATCTGATCACCAGCGATTTTCAATTTAACGTCCTCTAAACTAGGGCTAAATTATTTTAAGTGGTTTAGATATTTGAGGTGAAGAAACAGTGGACAGACATGGACAAGAACGTTTATAAAAGAACCTCTTAGAATCACAATCAATTTTCAGTTGAACTCGCAATCTGGTTTAATACAGTGTTTGGTCATTGTTTCAGGCAAATATCTAAGAATTCTTCATAACTCATTTTTCTGTTAAAATTTGCGGAATTGAAAACGACTTACTCCACTTGAGACTTCAACCGAAAAAACTCCTTGACCTATAGATTAATTTAATGGTAAACCAGGAACTAATTCACGACTTTCAGACCATCAATTCCAATATCTACCATTATCACCAGTTCATCGAGCTTTTGATTAGATCGCCCGAGTTCCGGCTAAACGGGAAATAACAATAATTGCTGGAAAGTGTCTATATGTATTTACTTTCATATAAAATCCGTTTCACATTATCTGCACTATAGCGGACGTCGCATTTCTGCCATCGATTTGATGTTCTCTTCTATTATGGCTCGAAGTAGAAAGGTGATAAGTCTATAAGTGCCGGTTGGCGGAAAAACTCCTTACACTGACTGGCACCAGCGATAATTCCTGTTTATTATACTGTAATTTTTATTTTGAAATGGCGTTGTTATAATGTATTATTTAAAGCTGGGTGAGATGCCCCAGATGGGACTGGAGACATTAAGAAGGCTTAAAAGGATTATCAGCTGCATCGTAAATTCACTCTGTTATCGGCTAGTGCCATCAAAATACTGCCTTTATTAAATACAATGTATTTATCAGCTAGACCTTTCTAGCTGTAGATTTATCAATAATTTATTGAATGATTTAACTGGCTCTTAAATAATTCAACGATAAGATATGTCTGGCATTATTGCAGCTACTAAACCAGGAGACAGGGGGGGCAGTCAAATATGCAACTGAATTTCAATGATAAATAAAATCAAACCTGATCGTGCGAAAGATGACAAGGAAGACCAAATTTACCTACCAATGAAGACATTCGTTCGCTCCATTAAATCTAGAAATTAGCAAAGAAAATTTCCAACCCTGATTGCCATCTACATCCACAAAATAAATTGCTGTCCGGATCCAAACCGCAAAACTGTCCTAAAAGCCCGATTTTTCTTTACATACATTACTGTACAGCAGAAAGTGTGTTTAAAAAAATCAATGAATAGGAAATGCAAAAAATCCTTCAACTTCAGTTACTTTTCCGACAACTGAACTCAGTTCAAATTAAGGGATTTATAGATTATAAATTATTATGCCCATCTTTCGCTGGCGCCCCATCCTCCATTTTCTAGCAATTTCTTCAAAAAGTTCACACTACTACTACAACTACACAATGAAATCGACGCCGAAAAGAAAAGTTCAATACTGCAGTTAGCAGGTAGGATAAACTACCGCACTTCCTTCAAGGGCCTCAATGATTCTACATTTCTCATCTCCAAATCGACGATTGATGGGAC